TTCATCAAAACTTTCACGTGTCTATACGTAAAACCAAGGCGTACGTAGGAGCTGAATTTGAAATCTTCGGATGAAACATGGAGAGAGGAAATTTCAGCTTCCAATTTCTTCTGGTTTCCGAGTTAGAAATTTTCTCGTCGAAGTTTTCATATGCTCTTGCGTGAAACCTAAGCGTACGTGTAAGCTGAACTTAGACTTGCCCCGTTGTAAATGGGCAGGTATCATTATTCGAAAATTTCAGCCTCTTAGCTTTTCTGATTGCTAATTTGAAAACTCGGAACACACACACACGCATACACTTATACAAGCAGTGTCTCGACAATATGAGTTTCAATTGTTGCATGGAAAAATGCACCAAAATGGAAGCACAATTTAAATGAGCCCCTGTGAAATGCCAGCTGCTTTAACACAGAATATAGTCCAAAAAAAAGAAAAAAAATTACAACTTGTTCATTCAAACCAATGAGAGTTTGTAAAGTTTAAGATTTCAAACAACAGAACAGCTTCATCACAACAAAATGAAAGAGTTATATGTGAGATAAATGCTACCAATTGGTCAATTGAATTTGCCCTAGATCAGGGATTTTAAGAAATCCAGGGCAGAATTACCCCACTCTTACCCTTCCCCTCATCTTGTAAAATACATTAATGATATTAATGATACTAAAAAACAAAATCATCGCATTTGTATAGCACGGAAAACACAACTGCAATCATTTCAGATCATCGTCATCCTCCTCACCACAGGACCGTTTAATCTTTACCAGAAGTGCTGTATGCCATTGGTCCAAACGTGAAATTTTGTCGAAGGTTTTCACGGTTTCCGTGAACTTTGCTTGATTTTTATCTTCCAGACATGATATTAGTTCGCTGAAAAAAAAAAGAAGAAAAACCATGAAACATAAAATATTACCGGTATCAAGAAAACTAAGACCGTCCAGAAAATTTATGTGGAGATCCCACTCCAGTAATGTTACTAGGATTTCCCCACACACTAGAGTTATACTGGTTCCCTCGATTCTGCGTAGCTTCAGCTAGAACCCATCGTTTACTCGACGAATTAGCGCTAATCTTTGACGGCTGCTCAAATAATAATTTACTTTCTCTTGGGTACCACTCATTAATACACAACGTGCACCATTTATTGATAAGGCAAGCAATATGCTCTGCCCCATCAGATTTTATTTTTCCCAGGTGATAGCAATGATATTCAGCACGTCGCTCATCTGACGGAGAGTCCGGCTCTAACAGTCAAAAATCCACGTACTCTCCTCTTCACTGTCGTTTTTCTCACAAACAATAAGCATAAGAGATAATCTTCAGGCTATAAAAACTTACTTCACGAGTTTACATTCTCGCGAATCAGCAAACGATGGAGAAATTTCTTCATACCTTTTCAGCACGTGCTGTGCATCCAACTGAAAAAAAAAATAGAATTTCTCCCAAAAGAACAAAAAAAAAACATATGTTAAAGGCAGTGAACCGGGAAAATGCGAGAAATGGAAGGGAGGGGGAGTGGAAGAGGACGGCATAGTTTCACGGCGCTACGATCAGCAGTACTACTCGTACGTTAAAGGCGGAGTGTCTGTTTTCACCGGTGGGACAGTCGATCCCATGGTAATTCATTCCACTGGTAAATCGGTATTGGTATTTATACACTTCAATATGCCTGGTAAGTAATCGCCGTGGTGAGAAGCCATCGAAAGCCTTGCAAAGACATTAACAGCACGAAAAAAAAATCAGATTACTGGTAACATGTCGTTAAAGTTCGCGTAATGGCAACTGATCCAAGTAAACACCAAGTGTTGCTCGTGTAATGCTCCAGTAACGCACACTTCCCAGCGGGAAAATGCGAAAAGTGGAAGGAAGGGGAGGAGAGCGGGTAGTTGCTGCCTGTACGCGCAACCACTTGGCTTATTTCCGAATATCTCCACATCTCATAGAAAATAAAGTATGGAGATAATTTTAACTTTTCGTCACGACCCACTCCCTGTCTTCTGCTCACTGATGTGTTCATTATAGCAAGATGGAAAGAAACGATTAAAGAACTCACCCAATCTAAACAAAGGTAGCAAAGAAGTGACTGGAAAAAGTGATTTTTTGCAGCATATTTCAGTGTCGGATGATCGGATTCCCATATCGCTACTTCTTCAAAAATCTTGATTGCCCTCTTGTAATCCTCCAGCTGTGCGGCATACTAAAAAGGAAAAATCCTTTGAATTCGAAAAAAAAAAGCAAAACGTTGATTGTGTAAAAATTATTTGCATTTGGAAAAGACTCGATTTGGAAGCACTACGTCAGTAGCAACCATAATAACATGTTTGACAAGCTAACAAAAAGCAGCGCTGAACAAGTGTACGATCGATTTACTGTTTATCGAAATGATTTTTCGGAGCTGGCGCTCCGTCAATTAAACGGACATATATATACCTGGCCGACTTTT